GAGCTTCATTGGTTAGATAGCGAGGGCGCTCTATCTCAGTGCCCCGAGGATAAAACTACATGATTAAGCTGGCATACAAAAATATCCCCACCCCCTCCCTGTCCTTCTAGTGTGTAAAAAAAAACGTTTTTTTTTTTTTTTACTTCGTAGGAGGGGCGGCACCCCAGCACCCATAATAGACCAGCCGCCTCTGGTTCATATACCCCACAAGAGGGAACAGTTACATAAAGGCGGAGACACTCTGAAACACAGCGTGTAAATGAAGCATAGGATTCAGCTTGTTACCAGCAGTTCCCTCATCAGATCTCATCAGCATAACAGTGTCATGTATAGATGGTAATCCAATCAGCCTGATTGTTTCAGCTATACCTTCACATTATCATAGAGCTTAATGGAGAGGGGTTATATCGAGGGGGAGACACTCTGAAACAAAGCATGTAAGCATAACTATTCAAACTGAGCCAGGGGCTCCCAGAGCCAATACAGACAAAGAGTCTCAGTAATCTGCTCATTTATACCTCTCAAATCAGTCTACTAGACTTTTTTTCAGTTTAATTGTACTGGTATATATTGTACTGGAACCTAAATGAAACATTTAAATAAATGTGTAATCCTACAATATCATCATCTTAATTTTATGTTTACCAGTTGGCCCGATCAAAATAGGATCAAAATCATTAAATATGAAACAAAAAAAGTGTTCATCATGGATTTAGAGCTAGTTAAACACTGAACGGGGTCAAATCGACCCCAAAGATAATAGGAGGGTATAAGCTTACACAAAAGAAAAAATACACAACTGTCAGTTTGTGGGACACCCTTCGTCGCATTATCATATCTTGTTCCTATCCCGAATAAAGTCTGTCTTGCTAGATCAGACAGTTCTGTTCTATAGCACGTGTACCTCTGAGTGTTTGCGGGGAAATACTCAAGCTGCTGTAATACAATTATCACTGAGTCACCCAATCCAGTCGATTCCAGTTTCAGGTGCCAGCTGACACAAATCTTCCTGTCTCAGCTGCAATGTTTATGTGTTGTGGAAACTGCCCTCTCCTTTCTCCTTTCTCTCTTACAGTCTACGATATCCATTCAAATGACTTCCAGACAAGGTTACTCTGGGTTCAGGTGCTGGGTTTAATTTTTTGGTCATAGTTCTAATAGTGGCATGATTTTAATGTTTCATTATCATTATCCTGACTGAGAGATATTTTTTTGCCACTGCAAGATAAATGGAAATTCAATGCTAAAGGTTACAAACTGTTACGAACTGCTCCGAGGCTTGTAGATGTAGATCCAAATGCAGCTTTATTTAAGATTAGTCGTACAGGCAGGGTCGAGAATTAGCAGACAGGACAATGGAGAATACACAGTGGGAATCCGGGAAACAGGCAGAGGTCAGGGCAGGCAGCAGTAATCAAAATCCAAGAACGATCCAACGTCAAAAACCAGAAAACAAACACGGAAAACGCTCAGAAATGCAGTGTAACACTTAAACAAGACTTCGCAAACACTGAACGTGAACACAAGGTATATATAGACACACTAACAGGATGAGACACAGGTGAATGCAATCAGTGAATGAGGTACAGGTGAATGTGATCAGTGATGATGAGTCCGGGCAGTGAGTTCTGGGAAATGTAGTTGTGAGGGAAACATGAACATCTGGTGTGGAGTGCCCTCTGGTGACTCTCAAGGGCACTCCACCTGGTGACCGTTACATAGCCCCCCCCCCAAAGAGCGGCTTCCAGACGCTCCAAAAACAGTTCAGGAGGGAGGTGGAGCGGAGGCGGATCCGGGGGAGGGATGGAGGGCCAGGCCTGTGGAGCAGAATAGGGCCTGGAGACTAGGACGGAAGACCAGGGTGGAGCAGGCTGTGCAGGCGGCCAGGGCGAAGCAGGCCGTGCAGGCGGCCAGGGCGGAGCAAGATGTGCAGGCGGCCAGGGCGGAGCAGGCTGTGCGGGCGGCCAGGGCGGAGCAGGCTTTGAGGGCGGCCAAAGCGGTGGAGACCCCTCGGGCGGCCACGGCGGTGAAGACCCCTCGGGCGGCCACGGCGGCGAAGAACCCTCGGGCGGCCACGGCTGCGAAGACCCCTCGGGCGGCCACGGCGGCGAAGACCCCTCGGGCGGCCACGGCGGTGATGCCCTCTCAGGACCAGACACCGGCTCAGGAACAGACACTACATCAGAAATGGTCACAAGGATAGACACAGACACAGAAACAAACACTGGATCGGGGGCAGACACTGGATCGGCCATCTTGTCCGGAGACACTGGATCGGCCATCTTGTCCGGAGACACTGGATCGGCCATCTTGTCCGGAGACACTGGATCGGCCATCTTGTCCGGAGACAATGGATCGGCCATCTTGTCCGGAGACAATGGATCGGCCATCTTGTCCGGAGACACTGGGTCGGCCATCTTGTCCGGAGACACTGGGTCGGCCATCTTGTCCGGAGACACTGGGTCGGCCATCTTGTCCGGAGACACTGGGTCGGCCATCTTGTCCGGAGACACTGGCTTGGAGGCAGCCATCTTGTCCGGAGACACTGGCTTGGAGGCGGCCATCTTGTCCGGAGACACTGGCTTGGAGGCGGCCATCTTGTCTTTAGACACTGGCTTGGCAGAAGTGACGTGAATCGTCTCTGGCTCGGCAGAAGTGACGTGGAGCGTCTCCGGCTCGGCAGAAGTGACGTGGAGCGTCTCTGGCTCGGCAGAAGTGACGTGGAGCGTCTCTGGCTCGGCAGAAGTGACGTGAACAATCTCTGAATTTGCAGAAGTACATTGAAGAGTCTCTGAGTCGGCCATCTTGTCCGTAGACACTGGCTCGGAGGCGGCCATCTTGTGCATAGACACTGGCTCGGCATAAGGAACGTGAACAGTCTCTGAAACGGCCAACTTGTCCATAGACACTGGCTCGGCAGAAGTGACGTGAAGCGTCTCTGTCTCGGCAGAAGTGACGTGAACAGGCTCAGACTCGGCAGGGCTGACATGGAACTCTGGCTGGGCTTTCTCGGCGGGACGAGACTCTGGCTGGGCTGTCTCGGCGGACGAGACTCTGGCTGGGCTGTCTCGGCGGGACGAGACTCTGGCTGGGCTGTCTCGGCGGGACGAGACTCTGGCTGGGCTGTCTCGGCGGGACGAGACTCTGGTTTGACGGTCTCTGGCTGTACGGTCTCTGGCTGGAAGGTGAGCGGGGGCTCGCAGGGCTGACGGTGAGCGCGGGCTCGGCAGGGCTGACGGTGAGCGCGGGCTCGGCAGGGCTGACGGTGAGCGGGGGCTCGGCAGGGCTGACGGTGAGCGGGGGCTCGGCAGGGCTGACGGTGAGCGGGGGCTCGGCAGGGCTGACGGTGAGCGGGGGCTCGGCAGGGCTGACGGTGAGCGGGGGCTCGGCAGGGCTGACGGTGAGCGGGGGCTCGGCAGGGCTGACGGTGAGCGCGGGCTGTGGAAGCTCTGCTGAGACGTGACGAGGCTCTGGAAGCTCTGCTGAGACGTGATGAGACTTTGGAATGAAACTCTCTTCACAAACGGAGACCGCCTCTCTCCAGTTCAGACCCGAGAGATTGGGGAGCTCCCTCGGGTTGACCTCCTTAGCCCCTAGCTGGTAACACAGTTTAATAGCCTCATCACCGAGAGAGCAGGAGGCAGCGAGAGGAACAAACCCCCAGGTATACTGGAACAGATCACGGCTATCCAGGGCCAAGGCCGCGATCTGACCAGCAAACTCCCGGATTTGTGCTGCTGGATTCATCTGTGGCGAAGTCTTCTGTTACGAACTGCTCCGAGGCTTGTAGATGTAGATCCAAATGCAGCTTTATTTAAGATTAGTCGTACAGGCAGGGTCGAGAATTAGCAGACAGGACAATGGAGAATACACAGTGGGAATCCGGGAAACAGGCAGAGGTCAGGGCAGGCAGCAGTAATCAAAATCCAAGAACGATCCAACGTCAAAAACCAGAAAACAAACACGGAAAACGCTCAGAAATGCAGTGTAACACTTAAACAAGACTTCGCAAACACTGAACGTGAACACAAGGTATATATAGACACACTAACAGGATGAGACACAGGTGAATGCAATCAGTGAATGAGGTACAGGTGAATGTGATCAGTGATGATGAGTCCGGGCAGTGAGTTCTGGGAAATGTAGTTGTGAGGGAAACATGAACATCTGGTGTGGAGTGCCCTCTGGTGACTCTCAAGGGCACTCCACCTGGTGACCGTTACACAAACAGTATTGTTACATGTCCTCATTGTCATTTATGCTATATTTTCAATCAGATTTTTTTAAAGTACACTTTATAATACTTTTAAAACATAGTACTTAAGTTCAATTAAAATACATTTTATTTCATTAAATACAATAAGTTGTTAACTTTAGATCGTTTTTAAGAAGGACTTAAGTACATATTTAAATATCATTTCATATTATCTGTGAAATATGATTAGTGTACTGCTGAATGTACAGACAAGCATTTAATTTCTAAATTAATTTATATGATGATAAACTAAAATGTTCTTTAATGTAATTTTTATTGACATTTCTATGTTGAACCTGTTAATCACTTAAAATGTAATATTGAATAGTAAAATAATAATAATATAATATAAGTAATATTCAAGTTTGAAGCATGAGAAAATTGCTAAAACATTTTTATTGAAAATGTACTTTAAGTAAAACATTTGTGAATTTTTAAAAAGAGTAAGTGTGTTAAGAACATTCACTTAAGTGGCCTTTATTTTGTTAAAGCTATATTATCAGAAAGTTTCGTTACAAAATATACTTTTAAGAACTGAAGTACGTATACTACACGTGCACTTTTAATACAATTAAGCACACTTCACTCATCACACATCACAACCGTTTATAAATAAACATAAATGCTGTTAAACATGCTAATTCATGATAGCTTGTGCCTTAACTAATGGTAAAGTATAGACCCTTGCCTTATTACAAAGTGTAACCAACAATTCACTTGTAATTTCTCTCGCACCATAACACAGTGTGATGCGTCAGACGTCTCAGTGTTTGGGTGAGGTGATGGAAGAGTTCAGTGGAAAACTCCTGGAGAGCATGCTGGCCAATGGAGGTGAGTGAATGCAGAGAACACAGGCTCTGTAACGGCGAAACCTGTCCCATAAGAAAGCAGAGAAGAGTTCATTAGCACAAGGCCACCCCCTCTGAGCCAGACCATGCTCACCAATAGATCAAGTTACATACAGTATTACATAAACATGGCCTGATAGAAGGGTTTCTATCTGCCTTGCAATATAATTTTTTTGGACAGTCAATCAAAAGTCTCTATAGTACTTCACTGTAGTAAAAAAAAAACAAACAAACAAACAAACAAAAAAAAAACTTTTTTGAGTTTTACTTATATTCCAAAATTTAAGATAACCTTTTTTTATTTTGTGAATTCAAAAACGTTGGAAAAATCTATTAGATAAACAGAAGTGAAGGTTTACTTGACAAAAAAAAAATTAAAAAACAATTTACAGTGTTTTTTTCAATTTTCTCATCAGAGCACAAGACTAGCCAGAAAGATCAACGGTCACCATTGAAATCGTACTGCCAGTCCGTACAAGGTACACTAACATTTGCGAGTAGCTTTCTGTGCTAATATTATAGACTTAATATTAGTATATGTCTGTGTAAAGTTATAAGCATATCTTTAATCCTTCGTGAAAGAAGTTTGCTTAATTAGATTGAATATGCACTTGTATAGTCATAAGTGTTTTTAAAGTAGCCTAGATTTTTTAAGTCTGTCCTTGCAGATAATCTAATATTAATGAAATAAAAGGAAACATATGTGTACTGAAAGACAGTGACTGAAGATTTAACCAGGCTACACTCGAGATGTAACCATTATAGCTACAGTGTGTTGATTAATGACCATTTGTGTACACTGTAAAAAGAATATTGTTGGTTTAACTTAAAAAAGTAAGTAACCTGGGTTGCCTTAAAATTTTAAGTTGATTGAACTGGAAAAAGTGAGTTAACACAATGAAGGAGATTAATTTAACCATCAGAAACTCAAAATAATAAGTTATCTCAACTAAATAAATTATTATAAAGTTGATTTGACAAAAGAAAATATGTTGTGATAACAAATCTTAAAAATATTTTGAATAGTGTATAAATGTTATTATTGTGTGTAATGTTATTTCAGATGCATTTACCCAAAAATATTCCTTTAATGTATTTTGTGGTTTACTGCTTTCTGATTCAGTGTTTCCTGATGTTTCAATGGACTTGGTGACGTATGTGACCAGATTTCAATGGGACAGAGCCAAATACCCCACTGCACAGCCTATAAAGACCCTAACTGAGATCATCTCCAAAGTATACACCTTATATAAAGCATTTTCTAAAAAATAACAACTATTTGTTTCTATATTTATGTCCTATCGGATAAATGTTTGTCTGTGTGGGTGGTTGTGTGTGTGTTAGCAAGTTTCGCAGGTGGACACTGAGTTGAAATCACGCAGGGCTGCTTACAGTCATCTTAAAGCCAGTATTCAAAGCTTTGAACGGAAAAATGAGTGAGTTTTCACATCTAGAATTTTACATGGGGACATACATAATATTGTTGAATAATGTCTATTTTTATTACCTTTTTTTGCATTGTTTTCATAATTCATTACGTTTATTTTAACTAAAAGGACATAGTGATAGGAAAAATGAGATCGGAGGAATATGTCTGGAGTTACGTATTTTGCGTTGAAGCTGTGGGAACGCTTCTGCGTGAGCCATAGAGGCTTATTCATTTCACTTATGGTTTTCCATAAAAAAAGTTAGTTACTTAGGGAGTAACGCAATATTGAAATGCCTTTCTTTTAAAAGTATCTTCCCCAACACTGGTCATGAAGCGGCATAGTGAGCCAATAAGTCCATTAATAGACAGCAAAAATGTGTGTCGACAAATTCTTATTGTCTAACTGAGACGTGGCAATGCAATGCCACATCTCGTTCCCTTCTTGGGAACTGGGTTACATACGTAACGTGAGACATTCCCCTTAGAAGTCGAACTTTGATGCTGTGCCATGGTGTTGATTCTATGGGAACTGAAATACAAATGTTACCATACCCAAGTTTACAGAGACTCCCTACAATGCTGTGTATAGGCACAGATGATTGTTAAGCTCAGACTGGACTTGGGTACACCCTGAATGACTAAAGATCCTGGGTTTAAATCTGCATCCAAACTGTAAAACCTGATGAATGTGTGCGGAGAGGAGGGTTAGCCCCTTATCCTAGCACAAACATCCTGTAAAGATGCACCACAGCAAGAGCATTCGAGGGCGCTATACTCCTTGTGTAGTGGGCCCTAACCCCTACTGACGAAACCATTACACATGATGACTTCAGTAATCCAGTACAGGAGGGAACTTGCAACCAGCAGATATGCCTCAACTGTCCAGCAAAGCACAAGAACAGAGACACCATAGTGTCCCTACTAACCAAAGGCATTTGGATAGCGGGAATAGTGGCCACATATAAATTTAAGGTAGCCGTAGACACCCATTCTGAGAGACGTTTGTGAAACTCCAGCACTGGACCAATTGTGCAGTTAACTGGATTAACCTCATGTTGTTCACACAATGTTACAAAGAGTTGCCATTTCAGGGCATACAACTTCCTAATAGAAAGAGGTCTAGAATTGTGGATTGTCTCAGTGACCTTAGCTAAAAAAACAACAACAAAAAAAGCTGGTACTCCTAAGGGCCCAGACCTAAAGCTTCCAGATCTCCGGCTGGGGATTAAAAATATTGTCCTCTACACTTGAGAGAGAAGATATCTTCGGAGCAGGATCTCTGAAAGGATGCCATCCAGGAGAGACACCAAGTCCGCAAACCGGCCAGAACAGAGCAACTAGAAGTAGGTGAACTCAGTCCTGGCGGTACCTCAGAATATAAACTACTCTCAAAGAAAACAACTTTTCGGCCAGCCAGAGCAATATCTACCTGAAAAGGGGGTGCGAATGAAGCCCGTCCTAGTGATTGATATAGCAGACTGCCAAAGTGTTGTCTGTATGAACCAAAACATGGTAGTCCCTCAGCTTTGGAAGGAAGTGTTCCCTCAGAGCTAGGAACACTGCCCTCAACTCAAGGCAGTTTATGTGCGAGGAGAGATGAGGGTCCCCCCATAGACCAGGGCCTGGTTGGCCATTGAGAACTGCACCCCAGCCTGCAACAGCAACATGCTCCTAGTGTCAAGCCCCTGTTGAGGCACCCAGGCTTCTTCCAAAGTTGAAGAGCATTATAGCCTGCGACACATGACTCTTAAGACTCTGCAAGGATGATTCAGAGGTATGCTTCACCCCTGAAAGCAAACCAGAGAAACTTCCTGTATTCTGTCCGAATCTCAATGTGAAACTAAGCATCCCTTTAGATCTATCGTCACAAACCAATCCTTGAATTGGATTTCTGACAATATGAGTTTGAGGGTAAGCATCTTGAATCTGTATGTCAGAAGATGAGGGTTTCAAAAACCTCAGATCTAAATTTGGATACAGCCCCCTATCCTTTTTGGGCACTGCCTCTCCCTCTCTCTGGGAGAGGTACATATTCTATGACCCCTTTCGCCTGGAGAGAACGCTGCTCATTTTTGAAGAAAAAAAATATTTTTAAAATTTTTCATCTGCCATCTGGCACACCTTAATTGGTAACACCTCAGAAACAGGGTGAATGGGAAGCAAACTGAATCTTTTAACCTTTTTTCTTGACCCACTGATAGATGTTGGGCAGAAGTTGCACTGCTGCCACAAAGTCTGACAGAAGAAGATTTTTTATTCGATAGCATCGGTCTGTTTGAGGCCCTGATGCAGTGAACTGGCAGGGACTGTCTGAACTAACTGAAGTGAGGATTCACTCATGAGAGAAGATGGGGCGAATGGCCTATCAGACACCTTCACCTCCTGAATCACCAAAGGTGGCGGGAAAAGTAGAGACACACCCTGAAAACCTGAAGAAAATAATGGGACACAATGTTGTCTTTGCAATGTGGTCTTTGAAGGTCAGCTAGTCATCAAAGATATTTACTGTATGGTATTTACCACATTGCCGAACAGGCCAGAGGGCAAGATCAGGGTGTCAAGGAGAAATGCCTTCTCTTTTCTTTTATTTGCATGAGGTTGAGCTCTCGATCGCAGAATGTAAAGTCTCTCAGGAGGTGGCAAACAAAAAAATGCATGGGCATTGATTTATCATTTTTCCTTCCATCTCATATTTTGATATGTCCTTTTTCAGGGTTTCATACAAATCCCTACCTTAATGTCAAAGATTAAAATAAGGTTCTTAGTATTTAAAAGTGACCTAGACATGTTTATGTGAGATTCAAAGAAACTGTAATAACCATTGCTACTGCTGAACCTAACCAGGGGAAGCTTGCAGACCCGTGCATTGACCAATATTGTGAAGAAGGAGGACTTGGTTTTGAATTCAGAGTACCTCACAACACTGCTAGTTGTGGTGCCCAGGTCAGTGTGAACTCTGAGAGGAGATAGCTCATGCATTACTCATCAAGAGTTATTCTGAATGTATTTTTAAATGTATCTCTATAGGACGGCATATACACTATGGGCGAAGACATATGAGTCGATGTCTAAGTTTGTTGTTCCTCGTTCCAGCCGGTCGGTCCCCATGCATGTTTGTGAAAAATTTATATTTAATGGAAACATGAAAATATAAATTTTAATTGTTAAATAAATATATTAATTACAATGATTGGTATATTACAAATTGATGTATACCCCAGTCATTTTTTATAAGATGTTATTGATGTTATTTAGCATTCATGAATGATTGAAAAGGTTGTTGGAAAAGTCTTGAGAATTCATTGCTCAATACTGTTGTTTTGACAGGAAGTTGGTTGAGGATGCAGATGCAGGGATTTTCACAGTAACACTGTTTAAGAGTGTCATCAGTGAATTCAAAGCCCATGCCAAAATTCACAAGTAAGCATACTGTCAAAGTGTTACTACTCTCCCTTGTGATAAATTTAGCTTTCCTTAAAAAAGAGTGCTTATTACGGAAATAACATGTGTAATAAAATAATTTAATAAATAGTGTTTTGGGGCACTTACCTGAATGACAATTGCATTTAAATGTAAATGTATCACAGTTTAAAGGTAACACTTTATTTTAGAGTGCCCATAGGGCCAGATTTACTAACAGCTTGAGCCAGCACAATCCCTCTTTTGGTGTTAAAAAACTAATGTCAGGATTTACTAAAGACATGCACCCAGTGATAAATAAGCACTGAAAAGAATTGGACATGGTTATCAACAGCAGAACTTTCTACTCCCATCGGCACTTTTTTTGGAATTGTGCTCTCGAGCTAATTTGCCGTTTAGTCAATCTGGTCCTTATTGTTCCTCTGTTGGCCAACAGGTTTACAGTGCGGGAGTACAATTCGGATGAAGCCGAGAAGCAAAAACAGGAGATAAGCCGTCTCGCTGTGGATAAGAAGGAACTGTATGTAAGTAAAACAAGAACAAATGTAGGGTGGGACTTGATTTTATCCATGGGAATTGATTGGATGGCTGGATGACTGGTTTGCTATTGGTTGATCTCATGTGAGTGCAGGTTGGGATAGTGAGAGATTTAGGCCCTGTTTACAGGAGAACGCTCGCGGATGAATACGTAAAAATATTTTATCGGATGTGCCTTTCGTTTACACGGCGATGGCGTTTTGGGGGCTTAAAAACGCAAAAAAGTGAAACCACCCTCCAGAGTGGAAATCTTAAAAACGCTCCACCGCCGCGTTCCTGTGTACAGGGTAAAAACCGGTAAAAATGCAAAAGTCTGCTTGATAGTGAAGGTTGTACGCAGGCGCGTGTGTTGTTGTGTGGCAGTGCTCCACATTGCCATCGAGCCGCCTGGAGTGCATACTACATTGAATTTCACACACTTTTGCGTCACGGATTTCCCACCCAAAACGCTCGTCTAAACGCAGTATAAAAAGTGATAAAACAACGCCACTTTTGCGTTTTCTCTTCAGAATCGTTTTCGTGTAAACATAGCCTTAATTTGATCAAATACAGATAAAGAGAACATTTGAAATGCTATGGTTATTTTCAAGACTAATGGCAGGTAAAGCTTGTATCCCATGTCTCGAGAATCAATGCAACAATTTTATTTGTCCCAACAGAGAACTTTTGTGTGTTGGCTGAAGGTGAACTTTAGTGAGATCTTTGTTGCCTGGATTCATGTCAAGGTCCTTCGGATATTTGTTGAGTCAGTTCTCAGGTAAAATAACCTCTTGAACAAGCAATGAATCAAATATGAATATAAACAGATCAACACAAACATTACAGTGTCTCTGCTGTTGGTTAGGTACGGTCTGCCGGTCAGTTTCCAGGCTGTTTTGCTACAGCCCAGTAAGAAGAGTATGAAGCAGCTCAGGCAGCAACTCAACTCCATTTTCAAACACCTCGACCCAGCGGCTGTGACCGGTAAACCAGATGTAAGATTTTTCTCTCTCTCATTCTGTACCTGAATTCCCATTTCCACAGTCATAGACCTTATTCAGAGCAGCGCCATGACAGGTATGAAAGTGGGGCTGTAAAGGATAGACTTACCGTGTTTCCAATGGCATCTGCTGTAAAAAGCTGAATAAGCTTCTAGACAACTTACAATTTTCCACAACTTACATTGTCGGGAGTTTTTAGTCAACTGAAATTTCTTGGAAAGATATTTTTCAGAACAATCCGAAAACACATTAAATAACAGTACAACCCATTGAAGAGATGCAAGTCTATCCCTCACAGCCTCGCTTTCATTCTCATTAAAAATCAAAGATGGCGCTGCCGTGAATAAGGCGCATTCACAGTTAAAACATTAGTTCAAATAAAAATGTAACCTATATAAGGCAATATTTGAAATTATAATTTCGTTTGTTGCTTGACAAATAACAAACAAACATTTTGGCAGAATGTACAGACATTTTGGAATGACCATCAAAGTGTCACAATCTGTCAGATTCTGTTTCACTTTATTTTGATGGTCCATTTAATACATTCTGTTGTCTACTACATGTCTACTAGGAGTGTTAATAGAGTATTAGTAGACTGTCAACATGTAGTTACAAAGTAACTTGTAGTCAACAGAATATTCAAAAGGGACCATCAGAAAAAAAGTGTTACCATAAAGGCTGATTTATACTTCTGCGTCGGATCTACGGCAGAGCCTCTACGCTATAGGCTACGTGTTGTTTTCCACGTTGATGCGCAATTACACATGCAGAGGGAGCATGTGAAACGTGGGGAGCGGTTCTAACAAACACAGCACTTGCGGTGCGCCTAGAATTGACGCAATGTTACATTTTTGGAAAGGTGCACGTCAGGGTAAGCCGAAGGGTACGCACGCTACACACAGCCTACAGCATAGCTACGGTGTGAGTTCGACACAGAAGTATAAATTGCGCTTTAATCTTCCAAGGAATATGCAGAAAAATAACAGGAATACAATTGAAACATAACCAGGTTACACATAGATGATACCGGACAAAGAAGTAGGGAAAATCAGGGCTTAAATACATGGGGAGAGGTAATGTTTGACAGGTGAATGTAATCAGTGACCAAGGGAACTAACTAGGGAACACAAGCAGGCAGGCTGGCAAACAGGGAAACCAAAACACCATGATAATAAAACATAACATACACATGTATGCCCCACAAACAGTCCAATTGAGCAGGCAAAAGGCAAGAACTGAGTGGCAGGAGACACCAGGGCAGCGATGACAGCAGGAGGACCCATGCAGGGAAACAAAGTGCAGCCAGGATGATGGCCCATGGCGGAGGCGAGGGAGGGAGGGAGGAACCACAGTAGAGATTTGGCTTTTGACACAAGGGGAACGTCTGATCGTGATAGAGCCGATAGAAGAGGAAACCAGGGTGCAGATGGAGAGCTTACAAGACTAGGGGACACCGATAGTCCTGGAGGTCTAGGCAGAGCTGCAGTGACAAGCATCTGAGGTGAAGCCAGGGTGCCAGAGGACTAAAGTAGAGCCAGTTTGACCAAGGACCAAAACGAAGCCGGAGCCCAGTGGAGGGTGGAAATGGTGAAGTGGTGGAGGGACGAAGTGTAGCTGATGGCCTGTAGGTAGATAGCCACCAAGGTGGAGCCGGACGAATGAGGGAGCACATAAGGATGATGTTTCCTGATGGAGCTGAGGGAGGAAGGAGCCCAGACAGAGCCAACTGGTCGACGGGCCGAAATGGAGTGACGGGATTGATGGCTGGAGGCAGAGTCAGGGGGTCCTCTTGACTGGGCTGGAGACATGAAGAACCGAGGCTAATCAACACAATAGAGTGGTGTCAGAGGAGGAGCTTAGGAACTAAAGGGAACCAGCGGAGGCTTGGGAGAGGAACTGCCTGATCTTGGAAGAGGAGGTGGGGGAGGAAAGCTGAGTGGGAACTCTGGAGACACAGGGGATTTTGAAATGGGCGGAAACAGAAGAGACTCAGGAGATTTATAGAAATGTCCTCTTCCGAATCCAAATAATGTTGAGAGGTCTGCAGCAGCTCTTCCTCAGAAGTGTAAGTGTGGGTGGGGTATTCCTCCATTCCCTCACACTCCACTAATACTCCTATGGTGGCACAAGTTGTTGCCAGCTTACGCACCTGGTCAGACATTTGAGGGCGCTTGGGCTGCGGGACAATGGTTGGCTGAATCCTCTTTACCTGCCCCTGAATCGTGCATCATTGCAGGCTCAAGCTCTCTGTCTGCAGTGGGCCCTGGTGTCATGTCTGTTTAGAGAGGCGAATGACTAACTGGGCTCTGGATCCAGAGTCAGGCTGGTGAGGTCCTGCCCTGGGCCGATGGTGAATGCAGATCCAATATTCACCAGCACCCACTCCAGCACAGCACAAAGAGGAACATACACATTAAACAAAGGAGAAAGATGCTCTTTATAACCACATGATGTAGTTGCTCATATGTCTTTTATCCAACACTAAAGGAGAAATTCTGAAGATTTATAGGCCTTCTACATGCTCTTTTACAATGAATGAGAACTAAAATGTTCAAGCTTCAAAAATGACACAGCAACCAACACCTTACTCAATAATATAACTTTAGTCCACGTGGCTTTAATCCAAGTGTTCTAAATCCATACATCATATTTGTGTGAAGAAGAGACTGAAATTTAAGTTGTTTTGGAGTGAACAATTTCTTGAACTTCCCACTAACATTAGCTATGTTTCCATCCAAGAAATTGTCTGTGATTTTTGGGATATCGCAGAAAGGAATACAATCTTAAATTGTGCTTGAAAAACATATGCACTCAAATGAAGTGGATCATTTTTTTATTTGGTAAGAAATCATGCGCACAAATTACGATGGAAAAATTTAATGAAAAAATTACTGGTCGCACAACTAAATATTCATGGCAGTGCAAAGTGACACTATGTCAGAATTAGCGTAATTACGATAAAAGCGTTCACTACCTTACAGATTTCGCAACCCTTTAAAGTCTTTTCTGAGAGATCCATTTTGCACTATGTATTCGCTGTACCATTTGACGACTGTGGATTCATTTTGGTGTTGTTAGTATTGACATAATAATGCACAATTCTAAATCCGAGGTCCAGGTCCAGCTCTGTAGGATGTCACATATTGTCATCTCGTAATTGCGGTAAATGGTGTGAATGCAGCATTTGACTCAACAGATGTATTTGAATGACTGAACTTGCCAGCGGACCAGTCTCATTTTACACCATCTCAAATGTTGTTTTAGTCATTTTGAAATGCCAGAGCCAAAGTTTGTCAATAAAATTATTTTCTATAATCACCTCCTAGAACTCTCACATGATTGCATTCCCAAATATCAGGCATCCAAAGTCGAGATAACATGACATGTCAAGTACCCAGGAAGTGAAGATTTTATTCTCTAGAACACATGGGGTGAAACACATGTGCTTTATTCGCAGCTGTTTTGGGGAAGTTTCATTTGCAACATCGATGGAAACATAGCTAGTGTGTAATTAAACGAGGAGTTTGCAGATGAATAATGTTTTTCATTCTGTTGTGATGGTTTTGCTGTCACTCTTTTTAGGTGGGGCTTGAAATCCCAGACGGAAGCACTGGTCAGCAGGAATATTACTCCTTAATTTGTTATCCTATCAAAATTAATTTGGTAGATCCAAGTTAGTGCTAAATCATGAATTGTACTCAGGAATTTTTGAAGTTAATTGGCACTCATGTTTCTGTTTCTGTTTTGCATCTTGCATATTAAAATAAACCCTGACAAACAGATGAAATACATGTCTACTAAGTTGTTGTACTTTTTGTGTTAAACAGGACTAGGACTGTGAAGTTTTGAAAATAATTTAGGAACCTTTAACCAACTGCCCATGTTAACCATAAAATTGTAATATTTTTATGATTGATGCGTGTGTAACAGAGAAAAGCGAGTTTGACCTGTGCTGTAAAAATCACTCCCTTGGCCTCAAGAGGTGCACTTAAGACACAGTTTCGAATCCTGCTTGGAACAAAATTACCAACAGGCTCACTGGAAAAACATCCTTCAACCTACATTTTCGCAAATTTGAAAAAATGTACGTAGCCCAGACAGCAAACTGACATTGAATCAACGTGGAAACGACGTCTCTCATGACATTGAAACAACGTTGATTTGCTCATCGAATTAACGTTGAACCAACGTCAGACGCGGCATTCTTCAAAGCTAAATGAAATCGAAAATTGGTTTGCTTTCATAACGTTGAAGCAACGCGTTGATTTCAAGTTGATTTTCCGTTAGTTTTGAAAGAATGACGCATCTGACGTTGGTTCAATGTTAATTCGATGAGCAAAACAATGTCAGATCAACGTTGTTTTGATGTCATATTTCCACGTTGATTCAACGTCAGTTTGCTATCTGGGATACCAGTAACGGTCCGTGTAGATGTAGATCACAATGACTGATTTTGTGCCGACAATTTCTATTTATTTATAACCAGGATACCACATTTACCATATTGTGTTTTATATTAGAAGATGCACAATTGTCACATGACACAAAGGACAAAAAAAAAAAGCATAAATCTTTTTCTTTTTCACACAGGCGACTGACATAACATGAGTGTGAAAATAATAATTTTATTTTTTTTCACTTTTATTGTTGGGGAAACTAGTTTTGCAGCAAAAGAGTTACAGACATGCATATAACAATAAAATGGTGAATTGTGCAGGATTGCAAAAAATTTTTATTTTGAATTGTACTCAGCTATCAGGGAATCGTGGATAACTGGAGGGACTGAAATACACACAAGATTGCAAATATGATATTGATTTTATCTCAAAACATTATCTATGCCATTGTAATTGCGTTCATGCCAACATTAAACAGTGTGTAAAAACAGTACATCTAGATTCAACTTGTGCCACTTTTTTTATTTAGTTTAATTTGTTGCTTTATTTATAAAATTATTAATTAATGAATTTTAAGAATTCTACCAAACAATTATACATTTAATAGGGTTAGAAACACATTACTTTTATAAAGGTAAAAAATTCACCTGAAAAACGGTTTAAGGGAGCAAATCGTATCACCTAATGAAAAAGGTGTGACTGCAGTCTAAAGCCCCTTTCACACAGAGATTCCAGAAAATACACGGAATATGTGTCGCAGATGTCAGTTCTGCTGATAACTCAAAAACGTCAATTCTCCACGAAGACGAGTCCATACTGCCCAGTAGTGCCACTGGGTTTGCAGAGTGGCTTGTTCCCCATATGCTGTAGCATAGGTTGTAGAAAGGCCCATGCGATGGCACGTGTGTTATCACTACGACACACCTCTTACTGCATTGGGCCTGGCTTTTGTTCACACATGGCGCATTCTGTTAGCCTGACTTCATCATGCTCATATTCTAGTCACAACTAGAACAACAACCCTGCACTCAATTGGATAGACCTACAACCAATCAGAGCAATGCAGTAAGTGACATATTTTGAGCTACACATAGTTGTCAACAGAACTCAACTGCATACACACTGGAAGAAATAGTAAAATAATGCTTTTTTTTACTTGGTTCTCCATGAGTGCGACCAAAGGAGAAACCACAACGACCACAGGGTTTTCATTGAGTCCCATCTTCTTAGTCACCATCGGAGCCAGCTGATAAATTAAACTTTGTCCGAATCCCGTAGGAAGGACGGCAAACACATCTTTCCGATCGACAAATGCCTTCATTGCAGTTCTCTCTTCGTCTTTTAACATGAATCAGCTGTCGATTTCTTTTACAACAGATACGATAGCGGAATCTATACATCTTTGAGCGGTGGCCATCTTTGAGGGAAACCAGTTCAACCCAAACGCTCTTTGATAACGTGATGATTACGTAACTGCAGATTATCTGTCCATCATCGTATAAAGATCTAAAATTGCAATTTTAGATCAATTTCTCCGGATCAACACGCTGTGTGAAAGGGGCCTCGGGGGGGTACGCCACTCTAAAATGTTTGGGGACCTCTGGTGTAGGGTTTTGTTTCAGATTGTATGTCATTTTCAAATGTTTCAAATGTTTCAAAATGTAAAATGACATCTGTTTCAGATAAAACTGCGAATGCTTTTAGTGCCACTCACTGGACATGCCGCTTTGAAAGTGTCTCAAAACGTTCAAGAAGCAACATGCTTGTTTGAGATCTGCACCAAACCGATCACTGGTATCACCGCAAGATGCATGCTGGTGAGAAACGTGCCCGAATGTGGAGGAAAGGATAATTCAAAGCATCTGCTGCAGTGTTCAAGGGATCTCATTTATGTTGTTAAAGTTTGATTAAGAAATACTGAGAAGCCCCTATTTGTTTCACCCGACTACGTTAGGGTGACCAACTGTCCTGTTTTCCCAGGACATGTCCTGTTTTCATATAACAATATAACAATTTTCGGTAACACTTTAGAATACGGTTCCTTCGTTAATGAATAACTACACAAGAACCAATGAGTAACACAATATTAACAATCTAGTAAGTATTATTAACTAACCAGAAACTCTGATTAACGAACTAGTAAGTAATAGCGCACAGATGAAAGTGGTGGTTCACTTTTAACTAATCAATAATTACTATTTATTTTTAATACTTCCCAGAGAACTACTGAAAAAGTATATTAACAATCTAGTAACTACTATTAACTAAAAGAAACTCTTATTAACAAATTAGTAAGTAATAGCTCACAGATGAAAGTGTTACTAGATACTTCTGTGGGAATTACTAATTATTTGGATTCGTATTATAAAGTGAAGATCATTGGAACTAACTAGTAATGACTCAAGTGTTACTAAAGACATTTTCTAAAAGTATACTAAAGTTCACCAAAAATCTCAAACGCTTGCACAAATCATGACTAGATCATGTAGTAACATTTGAGTTATTACTAGTTAGTTCCAATGATCTTCACTTTATAATCACAGATGAAAGTGTTACTAGATACTTCTGTGGGAATTACTAATTATTTGGATCCATATTATGAAGTGAAGATCATAAAGTGGATTAAGCTTGGAATAACGAGAGAAATAACATGGATAGAACTTTCTTTTCGGTGGATTGCATCACAGTCAGTAAGGTAACGTAACAAGGAAGTGAGACGACGGCTATTGAAATTAGTTGAGACAAAAAGTTTTATTTTCCGCAACTCGTGTGAAATAATATGTGACAATCGGGTCCAGTCGGGTTTGTGTCTTCCTGCCGGGTTCGGGTCCAGTTTTCAAATAGGCCTAATAGACGGGTCCAGGTTGGGTCCGGGCAGTACATTTATGGCATTTCTCGGGTCTGCACGGGTCCGGGTCCAACTTTTGAAATGAACGACGGGTCCGGGTAGGTTCGGTGTAGCACATTACGGGTCTCTTCCGGTTCGGGCATGAATTTTTGGACCTGTGAAGACCTCTATTAGGGATATCCAACCACTAACCCTTATCTCCATCCCACTCTGGATTCTGAAACCTCAACAAACACCTCACAAAAGCTTCAAAATCTTGATACTAAGGCCTGGTTTCACAGACAGGGCTTAGATAAAGCCATTATTGGTTACTTACTTTATTACTTTACTTAAATTAGAACATTTAATTACATTTAATTAGCTTTTATAAAACATTACTGGTGTACATCTTGAGATGAAACAATGGCACTGATATTTTTAAAGATATGTTGGTTTTCATTAAATCAGCTCAAACATGCATTTTCTTCTGGGACTTGCCTGGTCTGTGAAACAAGGGATACGAGTGCTATCTCACTTAATTCATCCCAAAAACTGGTTTATGTCAGTTGATCTGAAGGATTCATATTTTCACATATCTATATATAAGCATCACACAAAACAATTCCTCAGGTTTGCCCGTCAAGTCACAGCCTACAAATTTTTGACTGTTCTTTTCATTTGCCTCGAGAGTGTTGCCAGCAAACGTGTTGAAGCTTATCTGACACCGCTGAGAACAGTGGGTCTCAGAGTGTCAGCTGATCTGGACGATCTGCTGCTCTGTGTGCTGTCACAAAAGTTTGCAGAGATAGATAAGAAGATGTTAATGTCTCATTTAGAGAACCCAGGCTTCAACATAAGCGAGACGAAAGGCTGCTTGGTGCCCACACAAGAGATAATCTAGGTCTCAGACTGACCTCAGACCATTATCAACTGTTTCTGTCAGAGAAGCGCATCAGGACGATTTTTGGCGGTTTATCTCTTTTTAGGGAGGGAGAACGGACCCATTCAGACCATGTTTCTGGGGCTGATGGCCCCGACAGTCTCTGTAATTCCATTAGGATTGTTGCAAATTACAGAATTATCGATTATGTCTTGATTCCTGTCTTGTGTTACCCTGTCTTAAGGACTTTTATATTGAAGTGTTCCCAGTTCTCATTGTTTCTGTGTTCATTCCTGTGTTCTGACGCCCAAGTACTTATTAATTCCATTCCAGTTACGTGTTTATCAATCTTTTTTTTTTTTTTTAATACAGATGTGTTTTTTTTTTTACGGCATCTACGGGGCTATAACGTAAGATACAAGGTAACGGAGCCTTTTATACATTGTCGTGATTCTTTAGAAATAAATAATGGACAAATGGAGTCAGGGCCGTGGGAACTAGGGGTGCTGAGGGTGCTGCAGCACCCCCTGGCGACAGCTGTTTCACTACATTCAAATTTAATATGACGTGACTTTAAATAAC